GCTGTGCAAAATAGAAAATGACGTGGCACCTTGAGAAAGTTTAGCACAGATTTTTCAAAGAGGAACAGTTTCTTCCTAAATAAACTTATATATAACAATAAACTTATACGGTGCGAGAGTCGTATTTCACGCGCGCCCGTTCTTCCCGCGCGATGCGTTTCTCATTGCAAGAGAGTCTCGCCTCGCTTCTCCGCGGTACCCCGAGCTACCGAAGTATCGTCCCGAGTCGAAACTTTGACTTCATGTAAACATTTAATTCTATAACATAATGTATACGGGGAAAAAACAGTCTGAAATCAACGATAGATATTCTCACGTATAAGCGAGAATATTATAATACTCTTAAAAGATTTTCAGTCTTGAATATTACTTCCGACATTACCGTAAAGTAGCACTTGGATATANGAATATTACTTCGGACATTACCGTAAAGTAGCACTTGGATATATCATATTGTACTTCGCATTTCACGCAACTCGAAATTTCAATAAATAAACACGGACGCAAAGCCTGACAATGTAATCCGGCGGCTATATTTCTAAGTCCAAATTGCAGATAATTTATGAGAAAGGTGAAGGTGTATAAACTCGAACTATTATTATAATGATATTGGAGTGGTACGATTAGACGGTGGAGAAGGGGTAGGGAAGGCAAGAAAATTGGAAGTCGAGTACAAAATTTACGTTTGATAAATACCTTGCTTNATAGAAAAATAACGTCTGTAATATAGTAAGAATTGTCTTCTACGTCTATCTACAAGTATCTGTTCGCCTTAGATCTTGAAGTGCGAATACCATGACATTGTTCTTAAAAGGACATCAGGAATGATGATGCGATTGGGGAGGTCCACTTGACTGTCCCGATTCCGCTCGTACATTGTCATCCCTGCTGCAAATTTATTTGATTAAATATTTCTGTTCTTTCCACACAAAAATAATGTCTTTAAGAAAGTGTTAAGAATTTTCTTCTTCGCTTACCTTTAAGTATCTGTTCGCCTTAGGTTTTGAAGTGCCGACACCATGTCAATGTTCTTATAATAACATCAAGAATGAGGATACGATTGATTGTTCCACTTGACTATCAAAATTCCTCTTGTCGACGCTCGTACAATGCCATCCCTATTCCAAATATTCGGTTGATGGTAAGCTCCTCTTTGGTTGATATTTCTGAGTGCCACAGATTATTGTTCCAGCA